AGAGATACAGAGACATAGATAGAGAGATATATATAGATACAGATACAGAGACATATATATATAGATATATAGAGACATAGACATATACAGAGATATATAGATACAGACATATATATAGATATATAGACAGACAGATACAGACATACATACAGAAAGAGAGAAATCAATAGAGTGAACTTCCATTTAGAATTGCCATGACTGTTGAACAAGTGAAGTGAACATGTTTACAGAACCCTGCCTCCTGTTTTGGTCGCGTCTGCCTGGTCGACTCGCCTGGTCGACTCGCCTGGTCGACTCGCCTGGTCGACTCGCTGCTAATTCTCTCTACACAAATTTAATTTTCCTTTTGGGAAGGGAGGGGGGTTAGGGGAATTTGTGGGGGGGGGCCGAGGAGGGGGTATAGGAGGTTGAAGGGGGGGGGATGGAGCTTTAGGGTTGGGGGGGGGGGGTTATTGAGGTTACCTGTGGTTCAAAAAGCTTTTCTAGAACATGTAGATCATCTAGAACATGTTAGAACTCTTTTCTAGAACATGTAGAACACCTAGAACATTTTCTAGAACGTAGCTGTTATTCAATTAACGAACATTCACCTTTACCGGATATTCGCTCCAGTCTATTGTTTCTAGACGAAAATATACTTCCAATGCATATACTATAGTGAAGTATATTCCTTCTGGCTTCGTATTACTTATGGAGAATATATCCGTATATTCCACAGTGCAAATAAATTACCCTCGAGCAGATATATATATATATATATATATATATATATATATATATATATATATATATATATATATATATATATATTGTGACGATAATCTCTTTCAAGAGAGATTGAGCCTGCTCTTCCCTACATAATTACGTCAGAATACAAGATGCTATATAGAAGATACGTTCACCAAGTATCGCCAAACGTTTTGCCCAGAGAGCAAATCGTCCCCAGCACACCTGGCCACCGCCGTAACCAGCTAACTGCTCATCCTCTGCCTGCCTGTTGTTGATTGGCTGGTGTCTCGTCGCACCTGCCCTCCGCCACCGCCACAAGTCGACGTCTGGGCTGCAGCGCGCCAGTCTCGTCAGAATATCTCAGTGCTCCATGCTGTTGACATCTCTCGCTGGTAGACTAAGCCTTGGCTTTCGTGTACTAAGGGAGGTGGCAGCTCGAAGCCAATATTCCAGCACTCATATTATTTTATTTTGCTATCACTGTAACTTACTTATCTTAGCGTAACTTTTCATTTGCCAGTGATTGTTCATGTTATTTTGTTTGTTGACTTGTCCTGCATATTTTATGAGATTACCTTTATTCATGTCTTGTTTTCTAGAGTAATTAAAATTTCATTGTTTATATACTTGTGTTTTGTGTGTCTTCCCATTACCTTACCACAGACGAAAGGACCAACTTTTCTCTTTTTTTTTTGTGATGTGACTAGGCCCTGCCCCTAGCTTTTGAAACAGCCGAACACCAACGCTTTACCGTCACATAACGTAACTCACAAGGTGTAGCCAGTCCATGATCCAAGAGGTACTGCAGCTCAGCACGCATGACTTCCTTCTTGCTAGGGCTGATTCGGTAGAAGGGTTGACGAATCGGCCGGGTGTCGGGGAGCAGTTGGATGTTGTCCTGGGTAACAGTACACTCTTGTGGGTCATCTCGGAACTACTCCTGATGTTCTTTGAAGATCTTGACGAGAGGTGCACTCTGATTGTCCTGAAAATAGTTGGGAAGATCAGTTAGGATTTCCGAATTAGAAAGCGCTGACTCCTTGTCAGTGCTTTCGGGAGAAGCAGGGAAGGTCTCACTGTGGATGTATGGCTCTTTAAAGGAAGAGTAGGTTATCATGACAATATATATATATATATATATATATATATATATATATATATATATATATATATATATATATATATATATATATATATATATATATATATATATATATATATTCCAGCGCTCCTTGAATATATTTTTATCTTTAAAGGTGAACTAAGAGATAGGCAGAGATACTCAAAGATAGACAGACAGACAGAGTATCCACAAAGTCATCCCAACATTCTCCCTCTTAGAAAATATTTCTCAAAAATTTACAAAATCTATCTTAAATTTTTTTCTCAGAGAGGTTACAGACATATATCTCACAGTGATTAATTATTTAATTCTTTAGATATTTTCAAATTGCCTTACTGTCAATATTTAACAGTTTATATCGTAAATTAACTGACTGAATGATTACGAGGCAGTTTAACTGTATAATTGAGTGCTAATTAACTGAATTTGCCGACTTGTTTGACACTTTGGGCCAAATTGATGGTTAATTATCATTAATTATTTGATTGACTGATTTGCCGAGTGACTGGATATCTCAGAAAGTCTGACAGATTGACAGATTGACTGTCTCATGGGCTGTTTTTTTTCCAGTTCCTCTATCTTCCTTGTAATTCCTTTTGTATATTTTCATATTTTCCCTATCCATTCTCTCCTGTTTCCTCTTTTCCTTCTCTTATCTTTCTCCTCTCTATAATCTCTCCCTCCTCCAATGACCTGTAATCAAGCCCCCCCCCCCTCTCTAACCACCCTGAAAGTCGTTAGTCCAGTGTATAAGATTACGATAACAGCCAAGTTTTGCCCATTATACAAAGTCAGTTCCCGGCAATTTTTCCGCCAAGTCCACAACGGGCTCACCATAGCCCGTGCTACTTGCAACTTTTTTCTTCCAAGGATATATATATATCTTTTAACACACTGAGAGAATTAAATGACAAACTTCCCATATGCAAATTAGGAGTCTGTGTGAAGTCATGCAGACTGACAGACAGACATTAAAGCCCCCCCTACTGGAAATGTGTAAGTTCTATTCAGTTGTGTATGTGTAACTAAAGTCTTTGAAAATGTAATAAGTTTTACGAAACGCGCTCAAGTGTCGCGTCAGACTAGAAATAAAAATGAATTTTGGAGAATTGATTTTTGAATTACCACCACCAGTGAAAAGAAATGTATCCCCCTCTATATCACCCCCCAAATAGAGTTTCTCACCAGTATAAACTCCAACAATCTCGTTGACAAATCACCTTGCAGAAAAAGTTATAACCTACCACAGGATCCAATATATAACCCTGATCTCTCTCTCTCACACATGTGGCTACCAACCCGCAGAATGGGGCTCGATTTCTCTCCTGCGATTGTAGTCTGGCTCCCAGCAGTCATATATATACATAATACATTGCAGTTATACATAGCGTATATGTAGTAATGCAGTAATAATACATATGCAAATGAGTATTGTAGTAGCGGGGAATTCGCTAAAGCGTAAATATTGAAGAAAGATCTTTTGTTTTTCAATCTTAAAACCATTTTTAATAGGCTATTTTAGACATTTAGAGAAGCTTAGACTCACGCACACACACGCACACACACACACACACACACACACACACACACACACACACACACACACACACACACACACACACACACACACACACACACACACACACACACACACACGCCAGACGTACGATCACTTGGAACAAACAGACAAGGATGCCTAACTTGCGATCTCTGGCAACATACAGCCAAGGGTGGGGGGTTGCCAGGCGTACGATGAACCAGCGAAGACAAAGCAGCAACTCTGGAGATTTACGACTTAACATCAGCGCCATAAGCGTTCAGAGAGGTTTAAGAACAGGAAAGAATTGTTAGTAAATCACGTTTATATAAACTCTTAAGACAGATTATCCTCGTTAATCTCTTCTCCTGCGGAGTGTATAAGTTGCAGCTGTATTTCAGCTGTATTTGCAGGTTTGGTCAACTTGCAGCTGTATTTCAGCTTATTGCAGGTTTGGTCAACTTGTAGCTATATTTCAGCTGTATTGCAGGTTTGGTCAACTTGCAGCTGTATTTCATTCATATATGTACGAATTTCATCCACGTGAAATGCTTCTATCTCCCACAACTGGAATGCTCTCTCCCACAGCTGGAATTCTATCTCCCACAACTGGAATTCTATCTCCCACAGCTGGAATTCTATCTCCCACAACTGGAATTCTATCTCCCACAACTGGAATTCAATCTCCCACAACTGGAATTCAATCTCCCACAACTGGAATTCTATCTTCCACAACTGGAATTCAATCTCCCACAACTGGAATGCTCTCTCCCACAACTGGAATTCAATCTCCCACAACTGGAATGCTCTCTCCCACAGCTGGAATTCTATCTCCCACAACTGGAATTCAATCTCCCACAACTGGAATTCTATCTCCCACAACTGGAATTCAATCTCCCACAACTGGAATTCTATCTCCCACAACTGGAATTCAATCTCCCACAACTGGAATTCTATCTCCCACAACTGGAATTCTATCTCCCACAACTGGAATTCAATCTCCCACAACTGGAATTCTATCTCCCACAACTGGAATTCAATCTCCCACAACTGGAATGCTCTCTCCCACAACTGGAATTCAATCTCCCACAACTGGAATGCTCTCTCCCACAGCTGGAATTCTATATCCCACAACTGGAACTCAATCTCCCACAACTGGAATTCTATCTCCCACAACTGGAATTCTATCTCCCACAACTGGAATGCTCTCTCCAACAACTGGAATGCTCTCTCTCCCACCACCTCTGCTTGGAACACTAAACCAGCCATGCATAAACAGGGTAGTTAGTACAACTGGCTAATTACCCGTGCAAATCAGCCGAAATTCAGAAGGAAATGCGGAGTTGCGGTTCGAATGATCGTTGACCTCAGCGAATTGGGGTAGTTAGACAGGGAACTAGGCTAGTTAGGCTCGTGGATCCAGATTTGCATAAGTGGTGAAGAGGGGGGGAGGGGGGGCTTATATAGGCTTTATCATCATATATATATAATTGTTCCTTATCATATATAATCTGAAGTTTGGGAGATAGATTGGACTCGTATTATCTCTTGGTCTACTCCAGTCTTAGTGGTGTATATCTGGATTGTATTTTTTTGTATTTTTGTGATATATCGATGTTTATTTTTTGTCCATATATGTTTTTTTTGTATTGTTACTTATGGTAAACATTCGTTCATGTTCTCTGTGTCTGTCTGTCTGTCTGTCTCTCTCTCTCTCTCTCTCTCTCTCTCTCTCTCTCTCTGTCTGTCTCTCTCTCTCTCTCTCTCTCCT